CTCTCCCAGCCCCGCTACTGTGCACCTACACGTGCAACCTCTACCTCAGGGGACCAAGGCTTGCTGGGAGCCCCCAAGTGGGGGTAGAGGCCTCCAGCTCTGGAGCCACACACATCTGAGGGCCAATTCTAGGCCCGCCCCTCATTAGCTTCGGTGCGTATATGATGTAATTCCCCGAGCCCTGGTTCCTCATCTGTACAATGGGAACAACCGTATTATAGGACGTGTTGTAGGAATCACATGGGAAGGTGACCGAGTCCTGCCTTTCTTTTTGTTTTTTATTTTTTATTTACTCTTGAGAAACACAGAGAGAGGCAGAGGGAGAAGCAGGCTCCCTGTGAGGAGCCTGATGCAGGACTCCATCGCGGGACCCGGGATCACGCCCTGAACTGAAGGCAGGCGCCCAACCACTGAGCCACCCAGGTGTCCCCCATCCTCCCCTTCCTTGGCTGACAGTGCCTCCAGCTTTCTAAGCCAGGCTGGGATCACAGCCTCTGTGGAGAGGATGGGGAGACACCAGGCATGTCTCTCCTTGCTCATCCGAAGCGTCTGAAGACGACAGATGCTCCTGCAAAACTCTCAGGTCTGTACAAGCTCCACGGGAACAAGTCTCCTTGCCCCCATCTTGCTGTAGAACTAGAGCTCTTGCTCCCCGCCTCGGTGCATAGCCCAGGACGCTCGCCATGCTAGGGGTTCTGAAAGCTCTGAAAGGCTCGTGGTCTTTAAGAGGTTTGGCCAAGTAATCCCGAGCTCCACTTCCCTTCTCTACTTCTGCTCACCCTGAGGAGCAACAGCTCAGAACACCCTCTTCTCTGCTCCTGCTCACCTCCCCATAACGTTAACCTTCTCATCTCCAAGACCTACCTGTTTCCAGCAGCTTCTTCACCTGCCCCCGGACCCACTACGAGGCCACTTGTGGGGCAGGGCTTACAATAGCATCCTTCTCTGTATCCACCAACCCCTATCTTTTTTTTTTTAATCTTTTGAAGATAACTGTAAGATTTTTATAAAGCATTCTCTCTTGCGTCCCTCCTTTGTTCTTTTTTGGAATCACATGAATAGATCAGCATTGAAAAGAGTCCATCGCAGAATGGAGTAGAACGCGCACGTCCCTCCATGGTTTATGCCTATTGTTCACGCTAGTATGTGAGCCTCCTGTTCAGTTTCTAAAGCAATTCTCCTTGGCTTCTCTTTGTGTCTAGTAACAGCTTTGATACTCCCTTCTGGCTTCTAGAGAGGATTACAGTTGAAGATGTACGCAAGTCTGCCGTCCTAACAAGTACATCAGAAGGCAGCCCACCAAGTGCCCATAATTTCTCTGGCCTCAAAGTTCAAATGAGGAAGCCAAGTCTACACAATCCAAAGGTCCACTTGCCATAGAAGAAACCACCTCGGGGTCTGCTGAGTTTTCTCAACCCTAAAAACAAAGCAAAACTCTCAATTCTGTGATACTAACATTTGCCCTCAGCTCTAGACCTCATCCCTGCACACCGCCAAGCCTCTCCTTCCTCCTCACACAGCTGCTCCAGTGTGAAATTCGCAGTGAGGGCCATGGAGACCCACAAGGCCATTTCTTTCTTCTGGGTTTTGGAGAAGTGGTCAGCTGCTGGTACCACTTCATGGCTTCACAAAAATCAACTTTCCCTCTCTCTTTAGAGAAACTTCAAGATTTCAACCTCAAAACAAGGCTAAGTCCCCAGGCTTGCTGAGTCTCTCAGATGTTAACAAACCCAGGCCCCTGTGAAAATTGCCTGTCTTTGGGCAAGAATCCTCTCCTCCTTGGCATCCCCATGACCAACCTGTGAACAATCTTGCTCCCACTCTAGTCACAGATAGCACAGTCCACAGGGTCCTGGGGGTAAGAATCTGCCCTGACCCACTTCTTGACATCAAGGCTTCCTCTCACCACCAGCAGCTCTGGGAAACCACACAAAACAAGACACAGCAAAATGTTCAGCTACTCAGACATCTGAGAAGGACGTCTCTCTACCTGTGAAAGGGCTGTTAGGGAGGACAGGCATTTGGGAGGGCTGGGAATGCAGGGGAGACTTTAGGACACAAGGTAGCCATGCCCAAAACTGTGCAGCCCAAAAAAATTAATTAATTAAGCAAAATTTTTTTAAAAAGCCACAAGGGCAACAAACCAGGAAAACAAAGTTTGCAGTCGACATTCCTCCTGGAGGCGAGTGAAGCTAGTCTTTTTCTTTTTCTTTTTCTTTTTTTTTTTATGGGAAGCTAGTCTGTTCCTGCACACACTGTGGTGACCTTCGTAACAATCACATGTATGAAGTCCACAAGGGCTATTGAGCAAACCAACCCAAGGTGGAGGACACAGCGGGGATTTGAACCCAGAGCCATCGGAGTCTAAATCCTGTGCTCTTTGGACCAAAGCCTATCCGAATGGGGAGGCCACCAATGGAGCCCTCTGCTGTCCACCAAAGGAGCTGCTGCCTCAGATTCAAAACCGGTGGCACAATTTCTGCTGTGGGATCACACTCACTGGTACGCCACCATCACGACAGGCCCTGTTTTGTGAACTACCACAATTTGTTAATTGCCACAATTGTTAAGTAAGGGACAATATTAATGTTGGCATGGCTCGCATCCCACCAGAAAGAGGGAAGACGAGGCTGCCTACCCACGTGCGCTCAGAGAAGGCAGCACGTTCAGAGCCACTGGTTAGTCTCACTGGCTGGAAAGAAACCCGTCCCCCGCCCCCTCCTCCCCCCGCGAACTCCTGCGGGTCAAGAGAATGAGCCGTATGGCAGATGCTCCCAGAAGGGACAGCAGCAGCAAGAGGAAAGTCCTCGGCTCCATCTGCCACAAGGCAGCGCAGGCCAGGGCACAGCCAGCGTTCAATGTGGCGCACTATTCACGACCTTCGGCTCCTGTCTGTACAAAGGAACGGTTCCCTACAGAGCTGAACATGTATCAGCCTCCGAGAAAGCAGCCTCCGAGAAAGTTCGTATTCAGTGCTGAGCGGAGACGAATGCTGACAGAAAGTCTTTTAGATACGGGATCTTCGAGCTTCCAAACTAGGGCAGCAGCAGAACTTGCTGCCAGTCTCTCCCTCCTTAGCCAGGAAAAGTGACTTCTAGGTTTATACTGGAAAGCTAAGTTGTTAGAGTGACATTTTGAGGGGTGCCTGGCTGGCTCAGTCAGTTAAGCTGACTCTTGATCTCAGCCCTGGTCTTGATCTTAGGGTTGGGAGTTCAAGCCCAGCGTGGAGCCTACCTGAAAAAAAAAAAGAAAAGAAAAGAAAAGAAAAAGAAAGAAAAAAGAAATTTTGAAGCACAGGAACACAATACTTCATGTCACTCCTTTAAATGGCACCATGCTCCAGAATATGGCTAGGAACTAGTCAAGGGAACAGGTAGCTGGAAGCAGAGGGCTCTGTGCACAGAGCTGCATTCCCATCACGGTCCCCCTGGTGACACACAGGACAGAAGCAGGCCTGTGGCCAGAGGAATGGAAGAGAGGTGCCTAGCATCCTGGCCATGTCCCAGCTGCACACACGGGGCCGATGACAAGAATCCCCATCCTTATCTCCTGGCTTTCCATCAGATATATGCAACCTTCAGTCTGTATAGATCCCTATGGGTGACACAGGGAGCAAGGCCAAAACGTGTATTGTGCACCTGCTACGTCCCGCACACTGGGACACCAGGCAGCCGCAGAGCTAGGCAATTCATCGTGCTGCTTTGTGGCTCATTCCTCACCCGTGAAACAGGGAAAGAACAATGCCTTCCCCCTGGGCCTCAGATGACTGCTGTGGTGATCATGTGAGGCAAATCATAAAAAGAAAGAAAAAAAAAAGTTCCATATGGAGTCAAGGCGTGCCATTTCTGAGGTGTGGGTTTCCAATTTCCAAAGCTGGTTCCTTTCCAGCAGCATCTCGCCTCGGCTACAGCAGCAGCAAGAACCAAGGCAGAGGGAGACGAACGGTTCTGATGTCAAATGACTTCCCCGAACCTTGGGCCTCTGAGATTTATCTTTTGAATAACATTCCCTACCCCTACCCCTTGTTTTGAAAACAGACCACCCAACTACAGACAAAAAGGAGCACAGGCGCACAGTGGTGACTGGCAAGGTTCTAAAGTCAGAGGCAGTAACATTTGCTAGCTTTCAGATCCTAGGCCTCGATTTGCTCATCCCTCAAATGGGAACAATAATGGTACCCAAACCACACGACTGTTGCAGGGACTCCACAAGACATTGTAAAGAGCTTAGCACACTGTTAGCATTCGCACATTAGCTGTTATTAATCTTGGTTTTTTTTTTTTTTTAATCTCGTTTCAGCCTGGGGAGAAAAAGGCAACAAATGGCAGTGGGCAATACAACAGAAGCATGTTTACACTATGATCCTCTGTCTAGACCCAGAGCTCGTAAATAAGCTCAATCAGTGCTTCTCAAACTTTGTGGCAATGTTGGGTGTTTTCCTCAGGGCGACAAAGTTGCAGACCTACTATGTGTAACTAGTCCGTGGTGTGCTCCGTGGGAGCTAGCTGGACAGCAGGCCTGTTGACTGCTCAGCAAATATCAGATTGCTATAAAACTGCTGATTCTCTGCTTCTACACCTTTCTCTGCTTCTACACCTTTCTTGTCATGAACTGACAACAGCTTGTGGATGAGTTAGCAAGCCATACTTTTGAGAACGCTGACCTAGACTGTTCTTCCCGCTTTCCCACTCAATTCCATTTTACAGAGAGAGAAAAACCGCCCTTGAGTAGCAAAGCTGAGAGTCTTAAAAAAAAAAGAAAAAAAAAGAAAAAAAAAACGCTCAGGAAACAGCAGAAAACTCAACCCCATGAGCATGATAGGAATTTCCAGAAATAAGATATGGAAGGCAGCAAATAGAGGAAAATAACAGCATGAAGAGTCCAGCTGGGGCTGACCACCTCAGCTGTAAGGATCTAGGGACAAGACTTCAGTTAGCACAACAGGGCAGCCCCGGCTGCCGCCCTGAGGAGCCCATCCCTCCCGGGGTGGCTTCTCTGACCTTGGGGCGGTCTTCCTTTCTCAGAGCCACAGCTTCCAGTTTGGCTTCGTACTCTGCTTGCACTTGGTCCCTCTTCTTCAGAACGCTCTGTGGGAGGAGAGAGGAGAAGCATGTAACACGGGAGTTCACAAAGGAGCCTCCAAGCCCCAGACAGTTGCTTCTTTACCCCATTCCTCCCCAAGTCATGGCACACCCAGGCCCAGCCACATGCTCCCAGGACAGGCTGGCTGCGGTGTGGCACGTGACATGGACTCTGCAGGAAGCAGGGGTGGAAGAGGGCTGGAACCACTCTCAGAGCTGATCCTGAAGGTGACAGGAGCTCTGGGCAAGGACAAGTAGGGGCAACAGTGCCCATCCTCAGCCACACTGACGAGACGACTCAGCTGTGCTGAAATGTGGAGCATGGCAGGTGACAATGCAGGACGTTCTCTGAACCGTTCCTGGAAAAGTCTAAGTCAGGAGAGTGCTTGACTGAATCCAGTTGATTCCTGGTGGACGGACTTGCTCACGGATCCATTAGCTGCTCATGTGTCCCCCAGTCTGGACCAGGCATACAAAGAGCAAAGAGACAACAGACCCTACCTGAGGGGTTCCAGGTAGGGAAGAGGTGCAGACATAGTACAAAGCCGCATCTATATACAAGTCCAGAATCCCTACAACCACACAGTGAGGCCACCAGGGTGAGTGGGAAATGAGCTGGAACAGAGCCAGCCTACAGAGGGCCGAAGCTAGCCAGGTGGCCAGGACCCAACATTTGAGGAGACAATCTCTGTTGGACCCCTGTAAGTACAAGCTCAGCACCTGAACATGAGTGCCTCCCTTGCCCTGCCTGGTTCTGGCTCTGCCACAAGGACCCTACTAGGTAGGATGGAAAAGAATGCGAGCCACAGTCTAGGTAGGAAAGCATTTGTCTCATCCAAGAGCTTCTCCCTCTCTCTCTTTTTCTTTTTTTTTTCTTTTTTTCTTTTTTGGTATAAGGGGCCTGGAAGGCAAATCAAGAGCAATAGGAATTTTCTTTTCTTTCCCACTAACTCAGAAGTCACAAAGTGCTGTGAAAGTTTCTAGTCTCATGCTTTTCCCATAAGCACCTTCCAGCAGAGTACAGAGTCGGGCAGGAAGGAGCCTTCCTTGGCTACACAGTGGGCACCGTGGGTCCCTGATAATGTGCTAAAATGTGAGGAGTGCTTGAAGAGTTGAGTGCGCTTTGGGGGAAACCTTCTAACGGAATGCATCAACACGGGGAACCTCTTCCCCTGAAGTATTTCCTTTGAGAGGTGTTTTACCCTGTGGAGAACATGAGGAAAAGACTTGCAATAGCCTATCTTTTGTTGGCCACTCTTCTCTTTCCTGAATGCTCTGAAGTTCCCTCTCTGGGCTCATCAAGCTGTGAGAAGGGATGTTTGCTGTTCCACAGAACTCTCTGCCCCAGGGGTAACTTCCCATAATCTGCACTTCGATGCAGCGGCCATGAGCTCCACGTGCTCTTTGAACTCTTGAAATTGGCTGGTGCGACTGAGGAGCTGGATTCAGGACTGTGGTTCACTAATTTCAATTTAAACTTTAATACCTAACCTATGGCTAGTGGCTGCCCCATCGGACAGCACATAGATAGATAAAGTGAAAACAAAAAAGTTAGGGGTCCTTTGTGGATTTCAGAGAACCCAGAAAATATTCCACATCTCCTAGCCTGGTACTAGTAGATCATGAAATCATCATCTCTACCCAAACACACATTTGTGGAGACACAAATGTGGTTTCTCTAGGACACAACGGAGCAACGGGGAGGGGCTGACTGGAATCCTCACCACTGCCGTGGACTCCCACCATGGGACACTTCATATCTTACTGGAAAAAGCACAGACTAGGAGTGGGCTGGGCTGTTGCAGTGATACATGCTCAGTCAGTGTGGCAAGAACCCCCAACCAAAGCTAGGAATGCTGTCAAAGCAATGCCTCGGAACCCAGTCAGTACAGTGCGGGCCTTCTGTCCCTCGTTCTGCTTGAGAACTCTCTGTGTTCTGCATCCCTAGGAGGGGAGGGATGGCAGGAGCTTCACACACGGCTAGCACAGAGAAAATGCATCCCCTCTAAAGCCAGTGAGGGGGCCCCCAAGATCCAACCATACTCCCTCCCCCAGTTAGCCAGGGCCCTCTCTGGCCCAGGGGAGGGGAGGTCAGCCTCTGACTCCTCAGCCCCTCCATCACCCCAAGTGACCAGAATGCCGCCTCCTCGTGCACACAGCTGGAGGATTTGCACTAACATCCCCCACGTCACTGGACAGCAGAAAAGACTCACAATGAGCCTGCACAAGCGAAAGGATATTATCTCCATTTTATAGACAAGAACACCAAGGTAGAGCGAAGGGATCTGGCTGCGGCCACGCTGCTAACAGCACAGTGGTGACTCAGGGCATTGCTCGTCGCATTCCAGGACAGCGTGTAATTTCCCAGTGTGACCGTGAGCCCAACCACGCTACGGGTTGGGAAATGTGTTTGAATGAGCTAAGCTGAGACTACCGTCCTTGTTAAAAGCATCTTTGTGCACAGCTGGTGGTTACCTGAGAGGACCAGCCTTGGACCCCCAAACACCACAGGCTATGTTGACAGAGCTGGTCAAACCAGCCCATGGTTGACAGGGCCTGAGCTTGAGACCACAAAGGGGTCCAGACAGCAGCCATGGAGAGGCCCCTCCGTCACTAAGAGACAAGCAAAAGCTAGTCATCACCTGAGCTGCTCACAGAACTCTGTCAGGGTCTTTGATGCTGGTGGATAACATGAATCAAAAGGTGACGTGCATGGGGATACCTTCCTCGCTGCCTTACATCCCTCTGCCCCTTCCCCCATCCCGCCCTCCTCACCCGGTTTCGGCCCTGCCTTTATGTGTCTTCATTCATGATTCAGGTGCTGGGGATACGGCTTGCCTCCATGGAGCTTACATTCTAGAAAGGAGGTAGATCGCACAGTAAAAGATATTAATAGATAGTGGATACAGTAGTGCTGAGTGGAGGAAAAAAAAGAAAATAGGACAGGAGGATACAAAGTGCCAAGGGTCCGGGGAATGGTGGAGTTGTACACAGAGTAGCCAGGAAGGGCCTCAGTGAGAAGTTGCCTTTTAATTAGACATGAGATATATTTTTCTCATATGCTGTGGTTGCTTTTTTTTTTTTTTTTTAACGTAGGACATTTCATCATGATTTTGAGATGACCCTAGTAATCTGGTCCTTCACCACCCTGCTTTTCAAATGTAGAGAGGGAAAATGACTCCTTTTCTTTAACAAATAACAAGTTCCTCTTGGCAAGGAACAAGAGATGGGGAGGGATTTTTTTTTTAAATACTTAAGGAACAGATCGAGCAAAGTATGGATTTTATTTGGATCACGATCTCGAAAAACATCTACAGAAACAGCATCTGAGACAACTGAGGAAAGATGCTAACTGGAAATTTGAGAAAATCTTAAGAGCAAAACTTCAGGTGTGGTAATGAATGTGATTCTTCTTTTTTTAAAAAGAACACTTGCATTTTAGAGATAAGTACTAAACATTTTTGTACAAAGCAATCTGATGCCTGGGATTTGCTTTGAAATAATCTGGGGTGGGGGCAGAAGGGGGTGGCAGGTGGTAGCAGAGTTAGAACACCGTGGATCATGAATGTGTGACTGTTTAGCTGGCTGTCGGCTAATGGGTAGGGCTAATGGGTACGTGGAGGTTTGTTATCCTTCCCCCCCTTCTACTTTTGGGACGCCTCAATTTTTCCATAATAAAAGAGTTAAAACAATGGAAACATACTACCAGTCATCCAAACTGTTAATAACAAGCTAATAATAACCCCTGAACTACAATGACAACAGTGTTTGGAAGTTAAAGCACAGATTCAGTCTGTGGTTTGTTTGGCTTCCAATTTCTGTACTGGATTCTTTTCCAAGAAAATACCACAACTGTCAGCATCAACTGGAAGGTTCAACATTTCCTCTCCACACCCAGAGCTCATGCTCATGTCTTCCGCCAGTGAGACGGTGGGCTCACAAACTTAGAGGATGAGGAAGAGGTAGCACCAAAAGAGCCTCTAGTGCAAAAGGCCAGCAAGCTACCAAAAAGCCACCTCGAGTCCCAAAGGTTTTTAAGCAATTCAAACTTCATTGTAAGAGTGACATTAGGATGCAGGGTTGGGGAAGCAGATAAAAGCAGCAGGAACAGCTCAGCCACGCGCGGAGAACTACAGAACAGAATGGTTCATATTCTGGGATGCCAGGGGCTGAGGAGACCCAAGGGGGGATTCATGCAGAATAATGAGTGTTCAGTAATAAAAAAAATATGCTCAAATGGGAATAAAAGATCAAATACCCAACACAGCACTGCGGTTTGTGTTGGGGTGTCCCTCTAGGACAGTATTTTCCTGCAGATGGGAACATGAGTCTAACCCTGGTCCTGGTGACAGAACTTCTGATTGGATGCACTTAGGTTGCCCCCTTTGACATGCTCTTTTCACATATTCATTCTATCGCAAATGGACCACCTATGAGTTAAATTTTCTAGGGCAAGGTGGGTAATATTAAAATCACACATTTCCCTCTAGTTTTGAAAGATACTTGTTACAGAAAATTTGGAAAATAAAAACATACAAGAGGGGGAAATATCATCTCTTAGGCACAGCCAGTAACACCTCATGTCTTTACTTCTAGTTTTTTCCCTCGAATGACTTCTTTGATGTCTCCCATTTCTGTGTTTTCTCTTCCTGGCAGTCTGTTAATTTTATTGGATACTGAGGCCTGATCCTCTAATTTTCCTATTTTTTTCCCCTCTCAAATTCTCTTTTTGTTTCCCTTTACATGTGATTTTACTTTTTCTCCTAACTCTTCTATTTTTTTCCCATTTCTATCATGATTTTAATACTCATTTCTTTGTTCACTAGATACTAAAAAAAAAAGTCTTGTTTTATGCTTATGACACATCTCTTTTTGAAGATTTTAATGAGTTTTTTTCCTGGAAATTTTCTTTTCCTTCAATGATGTTTCAGGGAATATACATTTTTTTCTTTCTTTTTATTTCATATACATATTAGAATCTTCTCTTAAATATTCAGGGACCTTCT